TATGTATCATTATATATAAGATGTTATTATTCAGTAGTGGTCTGTTAGATCTATATCTTGGTATATAGGATGTTCTATGTGGTAGTGATATTTAGATTTGTATGTTTACGAGTACTTGATGGTTATCATTTAGTGGAGTGCTATAGGGACTTTATGTGTTCATGTAGGATAGCTTGATAATTCTTGATCTAGGCTTTCTTGCATGTTCATTGTTTGTTTGTGGCTCTAGAGTAGGATCATCTGTTTGGGTAGCTATCTCACCTCAGGTTACTTATGGTTACACAATTCATAGAGGATAGCTGGTAGTGGGACAGTGTACGATGTGAGGACTAGTAGGCACTAGTGAGATGTATGATTGTTGTTTGCATGTATTATGTGCCTACTTGATCCTGATTGTTTATATTTTGACTTATAATAGTAGTGGGTTGTGGAGGTCCTACTTTGTGTTGTAGGCCAAGATACCCGATACGGGCCAACTATAAGCCGTAGGAAGGGAGGCTTGGGAGAGCGGTAGTGTTGAGGCAGTAGGCCAACAAACCCTGGGTATTCCAGCCCGATGGCTGAGTGGACCCGATGCATGCTTGTATGTGTGTCGTATGGGGTGTTTTAGGGGAAACTCAATAAGCTTTGTGCTTACTCGGTTATTCATTGTTTCAACTATCATTGGTCGTCATGGGAAGGTGAAGGCGTAACTGTACACATTCATCAGCAACAATGAAGATTTCGCTCTTTAATATTACTCTGATTTCAATAAATGTATTTGGAATAAACGGTTTTCTTCCAAATGGATTCATAAGTGGGAAGCTCTACTTAAATAAAATGAAAATTTTATGTTGTGAAAATGGGACGTTACAATTTATACTTAATTTATTCATTTTAGAGCTCAATGTTTTCACTTGATCATATATTATTTTTCTAATTGACTAAAATCTTTCAATTTATAATCTGTAATATTAGGAGTTGGTTGAATCGTAGCTGATATATTTTTGTCTTTATTAATAGTTTTTCTTCAGGACTTAAAGAATCTTGTAATTTTTTTTTTTCATTTGATCAATCTTTTCATTTAAATTTAATATTTGTTTTCATTATATAATAGAATAAAGATTTATATAATTTGTTTGTTGTACAAGTTTATTTATTTGTTCAGTTGTAGATATATTGTTTTCAATATTCTTTTGATATGCTGTAAATTTGAAAGTTATATCATCTTTATTTATTTAATAAGGTTGTTGTGGTGGAAATATTCCTTTTGAAGTTTGGCCATTATTTAATCTATATTCTCTTTTAATGGTATTTATGTGCTTCATAACATTTGTGTTAACAAACCAATAGACAAAATACATTATTTTATTTATTGGAGATAAATAATTATGGAATGTTTCTTGCATTATTTTTAATTCTTCTTTTGAAAAGTTTTTAAACCATGTTTTGAATGGTTCTCATTCTTTTTGATTAAATTAATTTTTATTGTGGTTCTTTCCAGTGATCCATGACTAAAATCTATTCTTTATGTATTATCCATTTAAATATTAAAATTATTTTCTAAAGGAGTAGGAGCCTCATTTTGATTAATATCGTGTACTATATTATTATTAATATTTAAATGGTTAATTTTATCATCTATCTCTTCTTTGATTTGAGAAGTTGATGACCTTGATGGCATTTCAACCCTATAATATATTGGAGAAATATAAGAATAAGATGTTCTTTGAGATCTACTTCTCCTAATTAAAGGATTTTCCTCTATTTCTGTTTTTTTTTTAAATTCTATATTAACTATTCCATCTGATGTTTGAATTATACTTTTTATTTTATTACTTATTATTGGTTGAAGAGGTATTGCTCCCTCTAGAATCCAATTTTCATGAAATTCAATTTCATTCCATTTTATAGCTTTTCTAGTTGTTATTTTTGACATATCAAAATTACTTCCTATTAATATAGTTTCATTTATAGACTTGTTAGTCCTTTTACGTTTAGGATTTATACTAACTAGAGGTCTAAAATATATCCTATAACATATACAGATTAATTTTGATCCTCATACATAATTATATCCATGTCATTTAACTTTTACTATTAAAGCATCAAATATATTAACATCTGATAAAGTGAGTTATAGATCTCGGTAAACATTAAAATATATTTGACCATTTATCAAATTTGTTTGTATTATTCCCATTAAATATTGTTTCCAAATTCTATTATGTGCATAAACGTAATACTGCTAAAAAGCTTTCTGGTAAACCTTGTAAGCTTAAAGGTATAAATGTAATTTGTACTAATCTTATATGTAAATAATTATAATGATTGTGATATCTATCAATATCATTATAGCTTAATAATTTTAATTTCATTTCATTTTGATTAATAATTAGAATTTCTTCAGTAGTTTTGATAGACTGAACAAAACATAATTCTTCAAATGTACCTAGTTCATACAGAACTCTGAGTTGTATTTTTGGTATGGTCCACTTTTTTAATAAATCTAAATGTTTTGGAATTTCATATTCCTCAATTAAACAATTCTTTACATTAGTTTTATTATATTTTCTAAATATGTTGAACATATTGATAGGCAAGTGTTGACCATCCTAAGAAATTTGAATTTATGGCTATGATACCATATTATGAAAGCATCGTGGAAAATATGACGTATGATGATAAAATTAATCATATAAATGGAGCTATTTGAGTGAATTAAATTATGAAGAAATATGATTAAATTAATAATTCATAAAAATTCAATAAAATTAATTATACTGGTACTTTCGTGAATACTAGAATATATGGAATCTCCGAGTCAATAAAATTTGTCTTTTAAAAAACACAATCTGTTAGCAATACCCCGGGCCCACTTACAAATTATGGTTACCATACTATATAATTGGTCACGAATGATCAGTGTAGTTTTAAATGATAATTTGATTAGAATGTAGTATTACCCTAGGCCAACTCCACAAAATGTTCTTCATGAAGAACAAGAATATATATTAAATAATAGTTACAATGAAAAAAAAAATTATGAATGGAATTTAGATGGTTACATATATATATATATATATATATATATATATATATATATAATATATATATTATATATATATATATATATATATAATTGGTCGCGAATGATTGGTGTAGCCACTCATTTTGTACAAAAAAAAACATTTTTAGCCATTCATTTGGTAGATAAAACAAAAAACATTTTTAAAATGCAAAATAATTGAAAATTTTCGAAATTTTTTTTTCAAATATTATTTTTGGAATTTATATTTTCCAAAAAAATAAAAAATACCAAAAAAAATTAAAAAAAATACCTTTTTTTCACATATTCTAGTAAAATAATAAAATATTCTATATATCTGAGAAATCTAGTATAATATTCTAACATTCTAAAAACACGTTAGAACATTTACATTGTAATATTCTATTAGAATATTTTACGTATTTTTCAAAAAAACGGTAAATTTTTTTTTATTTTTTTTATTTTTTTAATTTTTTTAATTTTTTTTTGGTAATTAAATTTCGGAAAATAATAGTTAAATTTTTTTTTTGGATTTTTCCTTTTATTTTGCATTTTAAAATTATTTTTAGATTTGGTTTCACGGTTTCACAAAATTAGCATGGTCTCAAATTAACCTGAACATATATATATATATATATATATATATATATATATATATATATATATATATATATATATATATATATATATATATATAGGGTTAGGTTATTTTGTTTTTACTAACTATTGTGTGCCAGAATGCACAGATCTGGACCAATGGATGAAATTAATCAATGAACATGATTTGAAGGTATGTGATATTACAATGGGATAACATGTACCATATAATGACACAAATTTTGGCAAAAGGGTATTTTGGACAATTAATTACATTTATAAAAGGAAATTTCGGATTTTCAGTGATAATTAATTCTCCTAATTTTAAAAATCTGAATTTTTTTAATTAATTTAATTTTAATTCTAACGTAATTTGTATACATAACCGATTTTATTCTGTTAGAATATTTTTTTTTGTTAGAATGATGTTCTTTCATAATTTTATTGTATTAGAATATTATTGAAGAATAACAACATTCTTGAATCCAAGGTTGAAAAATAACAACATTCTTGAATCCGAGATTAATAGTCTTATACATTTTAATATAATTATACATATTCTAAAAGAATATCAACAAAAATGAATAAAATTCTTAAAAAATAACAACATTCTAAAATTGTGAGTATGATCAATCTTTATTCATTCTTCAAGTTATTCCTATTAGCTCTTCATAGCATTCTTGCAGCCATTCCTATCACAAAATACAACAAAAACTAATAATGATTAAAAACATGTTACTTGCAATTAACTATTACTTTATATATTTCAAGCAGAATACATAGAATATGACAAAATACATAGAAAAAGAATAATAGGCAATCCAAGAGAAATATCTATTACAAAAAAAAAGACAATCCAAAAGAAACATCTATTACAAAAAAAAAAGAAAAAATATTAACAGGTAAACAAAGATTCTAAAAGAATCATTAAATATAAAGTGTAGTTACCATTTAATTCTGATAGAATATATATGCAATTACCATTTATAACATCATACAATTACCCATTACTATTGTGTAACCAAAATATATTATAAAATTTTTCACAAACATTCTTAAAGAATCATTAAACCTAAAGTGTAATTATCATTTTAAATTCTAACCGAGTGCATTCTAACATAATACACTATACAAAGCATAATGTATTCTTACAGAATTTACTATATTGTGTATTTGATAGTTCCTAAAAAAATCAGTATTTTTGTTAGAATACATTGTATAATAACTTGCAGTAACTCATCTATATATCACTTTTCATTTCATCAATAAGCTAATTAAGCAAGCAATGTTCAGGGAAAATCAGAACCCCAAATGAAAAACAAAACCTCAAGTATATTTCAATCAATTTAGGAATTAAGGTTTAATTCTGACCTGATTACTTGCAATAACCTCCGCCACAGGCATTGTAGTCTTCTTCAACTGTAGTTGTCAAATAAACCATAGTGAAATCAGCAACATCAAACGACTTCTCCTTCATCGCTTTAACGATGTCATCTTTGTTCAGCATGGTGCGGCGGATGGGCGGGCGGTTACAGCGCTGATCGCGAGAGAAGTATTTGATGTCGAACACGGTTTCTGGATCGGAGGTCGCGAGAGAAGTTGAAGGAACCAATCCTTTATAAAGAGAAAAGAATCCTTCTGTTTGAATGATATGCCGAAAAGCTCCTATCACACCTCCTAATGATTCACCTCAGGCGCCACTAACTTTGTTCGAATCTGTTAGATCCCACGATGACTTTTATTATATAAATAAAAAAATTAATTAATGGGAAGAAAGAGTTGATGGAATTTAGTCAATTTATAGTGTCGAGTGGTAAGCAAAGAATGGTAGCAGTCATGTCGGCGCCAGCACCGGTGAAGAGTCGTTCAAATTTGCTGTTTCTTGATTTCCGGTTAACCGGAGAAGTTGCTTTCTATAGGAATCGTATGCACAAAAAATTCAGGGCTTTAAATGGAGCTGTGCGAAGAATGTTAATGAAGTTTGCCTTCCAAAACCCTTTTAAACCTTGAGAAGAAGCGATTGATTTAATTAGCTCGAAAAGATTCTTCTGTTCACCACGAAGCATGTATTCAAGCTTTAGTCTTTCAAGTGGCGCAACAAATGTTTTGTTAAAAACATTAAAATTTTCAAGATTGATTAAAAATTTCACTTCTTTTTGGCCATAAATTCAACTGAAAATTCGAAGATGTGAATAAGAAGAAACGAAAACCTTGAAACCATGGCAGCAACAACCCCAGCCCATAACTGCTTTGTAGTGTTCATAGCAGCAGGTTTTCCCCTTAATCTTATAATACCCTTCTTCTTACTCTCATCTTCCACCACACCATCGATGGCGCCCACCGTCGCTGCCATTAACTGGGTAGTGGAATTTCTATTAATGGTGGATGGTGTCGACAATTGTGATGAACTGGTTATGGGTTTCGGCAAAAGGGGTCGATGATATATAAGGTTATAAAACTGACTTTACTAAATTAAAGGGATATTAAACGGTTTAAATATTTTCTATAATTAGATATAGCAAGATTGCTATCATACACTTATATTAATTAATAATGATTTAATTTTTCTTAATTTCTTATTGCTGCATGTAGGCACACAATATTTGTTGGAAACATTTGAACCTATCTCTCTCTCTCTCTGTCTCTCTCTCTCTCTCTCTCTCTCTCTATATATATATATATATATATATATATATATATATATATATATATATATATATATATATATAGAGAGAGAGAGAGAGAGAGAGAGAGAGAAAAGTTCAATAGAGAACCATTATTAATCAAGGAACCAAGGAACCAATCCAAAGCGTCGGAATTTAAAGCGATCAACGGCAAAAGGAAGGGTTGTAAATTTTTATAATGGACGCACATGTACCGGATTATAACAAAACCCACTTCCTTTTTTTCATTTAAAAGTTTTTTTAGGCCAAGTTGTTTATCGAAAAAAAAACCGAATATACCGTTGTTCACGATTTTTCGTACTTTTTCCATAGAGATCTATGATGATATATAAAAAACGAATTTTTTTTTCGAAAAAAGCCCACTTAATTTTCTTATTTTTTCAATATTTAAGTTTATTTTTATCAAAAAAAAAAAACTAATTATACCAAAAATATTAATTTTTTGTACTCTATTAATAAACATCAACACCGACTAAAAAAAAAAAAAAAAAAAAAAAACCTCGAACAGTACAGATTCACACTGTGAATCTAAACTTTAAATATTTCAATTTTTAACATTCACAATATGAAAAATCTCGAACAGTTCAGATTTACATTGTGAATCTGAATTGCTATTATACACACTGAGAATCTGAGAAGGTTCAAAAAAAAAAACCTCGATCAGTGTAGATTCACACTGTGAATCTAAACTGTAAATATTTCAAATTTTAACATTCATAATGTGAAAAAGCTCCGAGCAGTTCAGATTCACACTGTGAATCTGACTTCTTATTATGCACACTGTGAATCTAAGGAGGTTCATAATGTGAATCTGAATAGGTTTACAATATGAATCTGAACAGGTTCACAATGTGAATCTAAACTGAAATAAAGTTTTTTTTTTTTTTTTTTTTTTTTTAACTTGAATATGAATCTATGTTTAAAAAGTATAAATAATATGAATTTTGATATATTTATTAATTTTTTTTCTATAAAAAAATAGACCTTAAATTTTTTCATCAAATAAAATGAATTGAGTTTTTTTCGAAAAAAAAAAGTTCGTTTTTTATATATCATCATTGATCTCTATGGAAAGAGAACGAAAAATCGTGAATATGGCCTAAAAAAAATTTTAAACGGAAAAAAGTGGTGAGTTTATTTGTAAAGGGTGGATTTTTTGGTATAATCTGGTGTGTGTGCATCCAGTGTAAAAGTGTACATCTATTTCCTTAGCCGTTGATCGTTATGATTTGCAACGCTCACGATTGGTTCTTTGGTTAATTATGGTTTTCTATTGAACCTAACCTTTTATATATATATATATATATATATATATATATATATATATATATATATATATATATATATATATTAGAATGATAAACAATGTTTAAGATTTGTTTACTTTAGTTTTAATCCTTGCCCGAAATTAGTACCTTATATTCGGCTCATAAGTGTGCATCATGTTTACGTCATCCATTTAGTTTAGGCGAGAGGATGCTTTATATTGCGCACTATGTTTCTCCCTAATTCCTTCTCTTTTCTTCTTCCAGATTGTCAATTTGCATTATTGGGTAGAAAAGCTATCTTTTCCCTTTTCCCTCCTTTACAGCTATATGCATATACATATCTACCCTAAGAACTAGCGGAAGAATCCAAGAGGCATGCTTAAGCATGAATTTTTTTTACCAGTAAGTATATGGTAATTTATTGAACATAATAACAGTTGGATTAAAACTGATAACTGATGTATGTCTCGCTTATCAAGCAAAATCGTTTTAAAAGTCAATGATAATCGAAATCTCGAATGTTCAGGCGTGGGAGTCCTTGGTTTGGATCATATATATTCATAATTACATAATAACCAAGTGGATGTGTTTAGCACATTAATACTATAGCACATGCAGGATATTAGATCAACAAAGTAAGAATAAATTTTACTTCACTTCTTTGGCTGCTTTGTAATTGTGTAGACGTTATTTATATTTGAAAGTTGAGGCCGCAAAGTTGATGCAAATGGGTTATTCTTTTGACAACCTTTGAGGTGACTCACAACATCCATCCCACGAGTATGATGTGAAACATATATCAAGCACACGTCAGTGGGTTATATATATGTGTGGCTGGCATAAAAGCATGATGCCTATAAGCAGCTCCATCCATGGTTGTAATGAAACTTCCATACATGTAACACCCTCAAAATTTGACCCAACTTTTGGTTGATTAACTCGCAGGGAGGCACCCATTGTTTCAAATAACAAGGTGAGCATCACAAGGCAAAAGAAATCCCATGGCAACAAAAATATACAATTGGGATATGTAATATAATATATAACCAATAGATAGTTGCCAAAATACAAGTTGACAAAAGCACTATCAAAATCTACATACAAAAGCACCTTCTTGTTATACACAAACTTTTATAAGTGAATTTTAAGTGGAGTAAATGTAACGCTAGTTCCTATACTGGTAAGGATACAAATATGTATAGGTGGTGAGGATGGTAATGGTGGAATATTTTCCTTCAAAGGCAACCAATAATGTGCAGCTCTTGTTGTGGATTGGGAAGATATATATTATGGTATCTCAACACTTCTATTCCTTCTAGTGAAGTACGATGTCACATTAGTAACTTAAGATGGCACCAGACGTTAAGTAACACTACAAGAAATAAAAGCAATAAGTGAGATGCCATTGGCAGCGACACACAATTTTAGCGGTGATACGTAATTTGTGGGTTACTTGTCGCCGCTAGAAACGTGCATCATCACTAATGGCGTCGCCGCTAAAGGTGGAAAACCACGATTTGTGTCAAAACAATCTAGTTAACCCTATTCATAATAGAATCTAGTTAACGATGATCTCGACCTAATTGAACGGCCGTGAACGAAGTTCGCTTAAAGTATTTTCGGCATCGTCAATGGCCGTGAACAATAGTTAACCCTGTTGTCACCGCCAAGACCTCCCCATCGCTTCAAATAGCCGTCGCCGCTAAAGATTATCGCATATATACCCCTCTTCCTCCACCACTTTCTATAATCTGTCTTCTTTACCGAAATTGTTCCAAGCCCTCGTAGCTTATATCATCGGGGACGACAGGAGCGCCATCACCAGCGACAACAGAAGCAGCATCACCGGTGTCAACGGTTGGATTTTGCCAAAAAAAATTCCATCGCAGCCTCCGGATGTTACAGGTGATTCCGCGAATTTTTTACGATTTCTTTTTCGTCCACGAAATGATTAAGTTACTATCTAATTATTTGGGTGTTTGATTTTGTGTATTAAGCTTTGTTGATCTCAAATTTCAGGTTGTCATCACCATCACAAAACCCCACAACACCACCACTATTCTGATTTTGATTCCACCACATGTTCTATTCCATTTCAAGAAGTATTCTAATCTAGTTCTTCATATTGGATGCATTATGTATATATATAATCTGTATGATGTAAGTATATGAAATATATTGCATAAATGTATGCAATGTGTATATATTGGTATGTAATGTGTGTATATATGTATGGAAAAAATGAAAAAAAAAGTAGGATGCTATAATGGGAATAATTAAAAAAAAAGTATGATGTTATAATGAATATGTAAGAAGCTATAAATAACAAACAAAATTTCTTCAAAATTCTATTCATTTGCGTGTCTTCTTTGTAATCATCATGAGCCTAGAAATACCCACAAAAATTGATTTAGAAATTAATTTCGAGCTATTCCCATTTGGGACTTCTTTTTGAATAGTTTATCTCATTTAGGATGTGAACATGTATTACATGATTGTTTGTTTAAGAAAGATTCGATTGTCATCTTCTCTTTGCTCCTCATGTGTCTGTGTTTGTGTGTGTATGTGTGTGTATATATATATATATCTTATATATATATATATATATATATATATATATATATATATTATATATATATATATAATATATATATATAGCCGACAATTCACTTGAGATTAAAGAAAATTTAGAGACCTTGAGATTCAACCTCAGCCACATATTTCTCAATTGACGCTCTAACGCTCCAGCGTATCAGCAGCAGTGGGGTATGCCTAATCATAAATAAATATACATATATCTCTATTCACAGATTGAGTAATCATATATGATTATGACAGTTGCTGCAGAAGAGGTCGTGATGGCAGAGGTGGTGGTGGTATAAGTGACGAATGTGACAATAGTGGGGTCAGATGGTGTCATAGGTGGTGGTAGTGGTGGTGGCCATGGTGGTGTAGTGGTGGGGATGTTGGCGGAGGAGAATGGAACGAATGACGCTATATAATCATTTATGATTATAACATGAATGCCGCGCCGGTACGACGGAGGGTTAGTACGGTAGATGTGAAATATGTGGCTTAGGTTAAATATCAAGAGCTCAAGATCTCAAGATCTCAAGATCTCTGTTTTATTTTCATCTCAATGGAAAAGTTCAATAGAGAACAATTATTAATCAAGGAACCAAGGAACCAATCCAAATCATCGATATTTAAAACGTTCAACGGCAAAAGGAAGGGTTGTACACTTTTTCAATGGATGCAATGCATCAGATTATAACAAAAACCACTTCCTTTTGTTTAGCTTAATTTTTTTAGACCATGTTTTTTATTGAATAAAAAACACCGAATATACCATTGTTCGTGATTTTTCGTCCTCTTTCAAAAGTGATCCATATTTATAAATA